ATTCAAGCCCCAGGACTGGCACAAAAAAAAAAAAAAAAAAATATTTTTTAAAAAAGAATATGCACATTAGGTAATTCCCACTTCTACAAAAATTACATAAGCAAATGATTAAGAATGTAATCCTAGCTACTCAGGAGGCTGAGATCTGAGGATCTCGGGTCAAAGCCAGACCAGGTAGGAAACTCCATGAGATGCTTATCTCCAATAAACCACTAGGAAACTCGAAGTGGCGTTGTGGCTGGAGCGGTAGAGCATTCACCCTGAGCTGAAGAGCTGAAGGGACAGCGCCCAAGCCCAGTGTTCAAGCCCCATGATCGACTAAAAAAACAAAAAGAATGTAGGCAAGAGGGATAGCTATGTTCTTATCATCATTATTCATAACATCTAAACATACACTGAGAACAACATAAACATAACAAAATAATTATTAAAATCAAGTAATGCTTGTTGACAGTGACTCACACCTACAATCCTAAATTGGAAGGAGGAGATCAGAATAGTAACTTCCAGGCAAGCCAAGGCAAAATGTTCATAAGACCCCATCTCAACCAATAACTAGGCACAGTGATATATGCCTGTCATCTCATCTATACCAAAGACTGAGACTGATAGGACTGCAATTCTAGGCCAGCTCAGGCGAAAAAGTTCACGAGACCTCACCTCAACAGAAACAGCTGGAGCACATCTCTCATTCTGGCTGATAGGGAGGAGTATAAATAGGAGAACTGTGGTCCAGGCTGGTCAAAAAAGCAAGACCCTATCTCAAAAGTAACCAGAGTAAAATCTGCTGAAGACTTGGCTTAAGCAGTATACCACCTGCCTAGCCACTGTAAAACCCTGAGCTCAAACCTGAGAACCATAAAAAAAATCAATATATAAAAACCAAGAAATAAATCCATACTACTAAATAATAATAATAATATAAATAATGCCAGGAGCTGGTGGCTCACGCCTATAATCCTGCTACTCAGGAGGCTGAGATCTGAGGATCATGGTTCAAAGCCAGGCTGGTTGGGAATGTTGGTGAGACTCTTATCTCCAATAAACCACTCAGAAAACCAGAAGTGGTGCTGTGGCTCAAATGGTAGAATCCTAGTTTTGCGCTGAAGAGCTGAGGAACAGCACCCAGGCCCAGAGTTCAAACCCCACAACCACCACCAACAACAACTATACACACACACACACACACACACACACACACACACACACACACACACACACACACACAATATAATAAATCAAGTGCTGAACCATTAGGAGTGTTGTTGAATGATATCAACATAGGGATATTTAATGAAAAGTTTTAAAACATGATGCCATAGTACAATACCATAATTTTTGAGGTTCTATACATGTATTTAAAAAATGTTTAGTAAAAATCCTGAATGAGATTATCTTTGAGTAAGCTGGGTTGTAAGTAATTTTTATTCATTTTCTTTTATCTGTAGCTTACATTTTCCTACAATTCAGGGAAGCAAAGAGGTAATGAAAATTCTTGGATGTGAAAAAATACCTGGTTTAAACCTAGACTAGCATTTACTTTCTAGTTGTGTGACTCAACAAATCTCTTCACTTTTCTGAGCTTAATTTTTCACATTTATACAATAGGAATAAAATTGTTTTGAGAATTTAAAACAATTAAATATTATGGAAAAATACTCGAGTTTGTTTATCTCTTTTATAGGGAAACATTTTTTTCCTTCTTTCCCTTACTTCTTCCTTTCCTTCCTTCTCAGGAGTAATTTTGGAACATGGGACAGCTGGTTGGTTAAAGGGTATGGTAAGATTCTTTGAACTGCTAGAATACAATACTAAAGCAAAAGTCAGCAGGTGTCAGGGTAGTTTAAGGAAGCCAAACATAGATATGCTATTTGCTCTAGGTTGTCATGTTTTAAAACTTCTGTTTAATTCAAACTCCCCAATCTAGAGGTATTAAGCCTTACCCGTCACAACCCTCTTCCAAGTTAAAATACTATGAAGAAAAAAACAAGTAGAGAAAAGGTGACAATTGACAATGTATGCGCTTGGTGACTTCCTTCCTCTGGGATCTCTTTATTATTCCTATAGTAAATACTGTTCCTAGAAACAGAGATCCTTGAATGTGAATAACCTGTACAAAATTTAACTTAAACTATCAAATTCCAAGGACCAAGATTCTAGAACAGTGCAAAAATGTCTGGCTTCAATGTCTTCTTTGAGCAAGCACATTCATTCCATCAGGTAAAGAAACCTTTGGGATTTTATCTTAAAACCACTTAAGGACATAATCAAAAGCTTGGAGTTTCAAAGAGACTTATCCATCACACATCCTGTTCACAAAAGTGCCCCAGAAACACAATATAAACAAAATACCTCTGTTTTTTTAGGAGATAATACTGTGGTTTTCTGTACCCAACAGTATGTCTTACAAACCCAAGGCAATTACACTTCCGTCCTCTACTCAAACAGAGCATCTGTTTCGAACAAAACACTGAAGTCAAGTCATTTTCACAGACAAAACAGCAGCTGGTCAAGCTAATCCATTTGTTGACAAGGCCCCAGCAAGCTTCTGTACGTCTGTCCAGTTAACTTAGCCGCATTGTCAGACTGCATGAATCAGAACTTCCAATCCTCTTTCAGTTAGGCTTTAACAGCTTTTCTTTGGCATCACCATTCAAAATAACTTCTTACAGATGTAGAAGCAGAAAACAGACTTTAAAGGTAAAAACATCTACACTGGATTGGAAAAGGAACAAAGTTATTTTGAGAGTAAGTTTATGAAATTAACAATGCCTAGGCAGTGTTATGTGGTTGCTAAAAAATAAACACAAGCCTAACAACTACCCTTTTGAGGGAAGTAAATTATTATTTCTATTTTATTGATGAAGAAATAAGAGCTGAAGAGCAATCCACCCAAGCTCCTATGACTCAAAACTGGCTTCACACTTGTCCTCCTCATAACTTAAAGCCCAAATCCCAATGCCTTACAATGGTGTGTGTGTGTGTGTGTGTGTGTGTGTGTGCCATGTGTGTGTGTGTGCACTCTGTGTGTGTGTGTGTGTGTGTGTGTGCCATGCTCACCCTTTATCACAATTTGCAGTACTTATTTTCCTTATACTGAGGTTATCACCTCTACTACTATTTTAACATTCTAAGATAGGAAATAGTCTCTAAAATTCATGCTTGAGGCATACTATTGTCTTATTTAAAGAGAAATACACATCTACTTTAGTTCACCAAGTTTTGAGGGAAGTAACTAATTCTTGCAACACTTCATGAGAAAAGAAAGCTCAAATTCAGAGCACTGGGTTCTGTAAAGGGTTGGAAGAAATAATACCACTTACTCTTTGTAAGCTATAAAACAACAGTTTTTATTCAATAAAAGATTATTTCATATCACCAATGAAATTCAACATATTTCTAGCATTTGTTAGCTGACTCTTAAACTTACTCAATAAGAAACACCAGAACCAATTAAAAAAAAAAAATCAGCTAATTCCTCACTGTCCCTGGGGAAATAACACATGATACAGAAATAACAAATGATACAGAAATGTATCATTTGACATTCAAATAGGTTAAAATCATAGCTAATCCTATTTTACTGCCCAGGCAGTATTTTAGTAGTAATTCCTCATAAGCTTTAAAAGTTTCTTCATCACTGCTGACTAAATGAAGAAATAATATTAATCTATTAGGTGACTTGCTCTGTATTACAGAGCTGGTATATAACCAGGGAACTCAACACCATGGGATCCCAACTTTTACTCTTCCATTTGACCTCTGCTGATGTCCATTCAAATTACCATATGCTTTTTGTCTAATAAGATGTGAGACAGTTAACATATTTAGGCAGAGCTGTCAACATACACATATTCAAAACATGCACGTATTTTAAAATAGTCTTGAAAATAATACATATACACAACTGAGTTTCAAGTCAAACACCTACAATGAAATCAGGTGCACTTTTAATAGTCACTGCTGAACACATCACACTAGTCAGTCTCTCATGCCAGAACTCCAGTGGTCCTCAGGAAGGTGAATCCAGGATAAAAAAAAAAAAAAAATTGTTTCAATAAGTCTTCCAAGTGCTTTCTATCTAATAATAGAAAAGCATGGCCTCTTAGATTTGCCCTTGCTTTCTTTCCCCTGCTGCATTATTAACAACACTTGTTTTTGTTCCGATATTGTATTATATCTCAATGACACTATAATGTAACAAAGAGAACGGAGTGGTTTATTTCTATAGAAGGATTCTGACTGCCTGTTTAAAAAAAAAAAATAAACGAACTTGCAATACCTTGGCTACATTAACTAATTGGTGCTTCATCAGAAAAGGTTATTCTGTATATCCTTTTTCCAACTTGAAAGCATAGAACATTCCACCAAGACCCTCCAGGGTCCCCACCAGGGTGGGAGAGGGTGGGGCGGGCCCTGACAAGTGTCAGTCTTCCCTCCCCATTCAGAAAACCCTAATATAAACAGGTCCTGGGAAAGGCGGGGAGGGGAGGGGGCGCAGCTACCCCGAGGCCTGGGCCACCGGACCTAAAGAGCAGGTGCCGGAGCCCCAGACAGGAGACTGGCTGGGAGACACGAGCTCCAGCTCGGGCGTCCGCACGGAGAGACCCCCCACCCCACCCCGAGAAACCTAAGGCCGAGCCCGGGTTCCCGGTCCGAGGGGAAGGACACACCCTCAGGCGGCGGCTGCGGGAAGAAAAGGGGGCCTAGAGCCCGGCGGGGCGGGACGGGCGACAACAAGCGTGGGGGGCTGGGGGGCCGCTCCCCATTTCTCCTCAGGACCGAGCGCGGAGCCCAGGCCAGCCCGGGTCACTGGGCGCGGCCCCCGCATCCCTGCAGGCGCCGCCCCGCTGCGGCTCCGGCGGCCTGGCCCGCGGCGGGAGCCCGAGCCCGGGTCCCGCGCCCACCGCCCGCCGCCCGCCGAGGCCCGGGCGCCCCGTCCACCCCCCCCCCACACCCACCTGGGCCCCGGCGGCCCCGCGCCCCGCTCGCTCGCTTACTTTCTGGGAGTCCATGGCGACCGGCCGGGCCCCGACCCGCGACAGGAACCCAAGGCGGTGGAAGAGAAAGAGGAAGGTCCGACACCTCAAGACCGCTACCCGCCGCCGCTGCCTCCTCCTCGGCCCGCACCGGCCCCGCCCGGCCCCGCCCGTCCGCGCCCAGCCCTCGCGCGCGCGCGCGCGCTCCCCGTTGTCGAGCCGCGGTTGCCAGGGTGAAAGGGCCGCCCGCAGAAGGGCGGGGCAAGGAGCGCGCCGCGCCTGCGCACTGGGGCCCCCGGCCCGTACGGGCCCGCCTGGTGCCTGGGAGCCCGAGTTGGGGGCGGTCACCGGGGCGCGCGCTGGCCGCCGGCCTTCTCCTCCTTTCCCCCTCGTGGCTCAATGAGCGCGATCGCTGCAAGGCTCTGAGCCCCTGGACTCCCCACACCGTTCCTCCCATAGAAAAAGCGACATCAGATCCCTGCATTCTGCATGCACCTGGGGTGCTTCAACCCACCCTACGCTGGGAGCCTCGGCTCAGGGGTTCAGTGCGCGGGATGCATCTGAAACGTGGAAAAGAGCTTCGAGGGACATGGTGGAAATGTGTCCCCGAAACCTAGGGGTTGGGGTAGAAAGGTGGCTGGGAGACTAATAATGGGCTTCACCACCCGTGGACTTTTCCTAGCGTCTCCATCCCACCTCCAGCACCTTGCAACCTTGTCATCTTGGGAAAGCCACTCACTCTGAGCCTGTTTCATCCATAAGAAAAAAAGGATGCGGGTTTTCTAAAGGACTGTGACAACTAAATAATACACTTGAGATGCCTTGTACAAAGTGTTCACTCAGTCACAGTTGTTAGTAGTCAAGCATTAGAACCTCCTTAGACAGCTTGGGAAGGTGACAGGCTTGGAAAACTCAGGGACTTTATTTGGAAGGCTCCAAAGGTTCAACTGAAAATCACTTTTCTGAATGACTGAAAGGGAAATGACTTTTCCATGCTGGTTGTACAAACTAAGAATTCAGCAGTGACAAGGGTCCTGTTCCCCTGAAGTTACAGTGTAGGGTGGGGAGCTGACAAACAGAATGGGTGCAAGAGGAAGTTGTTGTAAGTGTAAAACAAGAAACTATGCGGAGTAAGTGGACTCAGCTACTTTTCTTCAGGAGGTCAGAGGCAGCAGCTCACAAGCCACCTAAGTGACAGAATGTCATACAAGGATCTAAGGAAGATCAGAAGAAGAAACAAGCTCTGTATTTGAGAAATATGATATCCTTTCATCTTTGGTGGTCGTGGGGTTTGAACTCAGGACTTCACACTTGCGCTGTTTGAGTTATACCTCCAGTCCTTTTGGCCTAGTTATCTTGGAGAAAGAGTCTTACTTTTTCTTAGGGTAGATATGAACCACTATTCTCCTATTTACATTTCCCGCTGTAGCTAGGATGACAGGCACATAACACCATGCCCAGCTTTTCCTCTTAAGATATGATCTCAATTTTTTTTTGGCCTGGCTGGTCTGTTACCTTAGTTTTCTTGATATTCACACTCCTGAGTACCTAGGATTACAGAAACCAGAGTACCTAGGATTACAGAAACCACTGGCATCCAGCCAAAAACAAATAAACAAAAAACTGCATTTACCCAATAATGTTTTAATGATGTCTCTACAAGACTATACCCAAGAATAATTAAGTTTCGGGAGGGTTGAGATTTCTTTTATCCATATCTGTATCCTCAGCACAGGTATGCCTCCCAGTGTGTACTCAATAAATAACAAGCTGGGCACCAGTGGCTCACCCTGTAACCCTAGCTACTCAGGAGGCTGAGCTCTGAGGTTCAAAGCCAGCCTGGTCAGGAACCTCCGTGAGACTCTTATCTCCAATATACCACCAGAAAACTGGAAGTGGCTCTGTGGCTCAAGTGGTAGAGAGTTAGCCTTGAGTTGAAGAGCTCAGGGACAGCACCCAGGCCCAGAGTTTAAGCCCCACAACTGACAAAAAAAAAAAATTTTTTTTAAATAACTGAACAGAGGTTTACAAGAAATGTGATGAAAGGTACAAAAGGGAAACAAGTTTGGTTCAGGCTTAGTGGTTAATACTTAGAAAACCTGAGTCTAGGGAGAACCTATGCACAATTTTGTTTCTGCCAGCTGCAAGACTAGAGTAGCATGTTTTTTATTAAAAAAAAAAAAAAAAGATGCTGCCTTCTCTTGGTACCAAGGAAAGGGAACCTCCTGTTCAAGTCCCTTTAATACCAGAAGTACATCCAGGCTTTCAGCCACTGCTTATCACACTGCTTTGGCCCAGATGACTGAGCTGTATACTGTAGGCCACTCAATAAAGCTGAGTCAGTTTCCCATGAGGAAGAAATGCAGCCTGGGAAATGGAGAACAGCAAGCCCACAGACAGCATGGAGCCCAGTGTTTGGTCTTTCTCTCAACTTCTCTGGTTTAGAGAACTTACCCTCACCCTTATCAGAGGGCCACTCCTGGGCACTTCATGAACTGACAGGTCACCACCACAGGAGGAACAAGAAAGGCTGTGGAGGCAGTGAGTCACATCTGAAATGTGATAACCAGACTCTGTCACTTGGCCACTCCCCAGGAGCCCGCTCCTGGCTCCTTGCCTCTAGTTCTTTCCTTGCAACCCAGCCAGAAGCCTGCGGATTTTGACACCAACTCTACCCCATTTGACTTCTGCCCTCACCAGATGGCTGGCTTTAGCCAGTCTATGTCCCCTGCCCAGTTCATCCTGGGCCTTTTGCTTTACCTTGTTCCCAAGCAGGAGCAACTTGATCCTCTGGCTGTGACTTCTGAAATTTCCAGTTTGTACAAATTTGCCCACCGCAGTCATTCACCAAGCTAGACACTAAGTCTGCCTTACTCTCTCCCAGTGCCTCTGGTCTATAGGCAAGTCTTTTACTTTTTCTTGATGCAACCTTTTCATGCCAAGTCCCCTTTATCAGATCAATTGTTCTTAAACTTGAGCCCTGGACCAGCTATGTCAGCATTGCTTGCTAATTTGGTAGCAGTGCAAATTCTCAGGCCTCATCCCTAGATCCAATGAATCAAAAACTCTGAGAACTGAAATTGGTAATCTCTTTTAACTGTTCGTTGGTTGAATCCTGGTGCATGCTAACATGTATAAACCATTGAGTGGAGAAAGCAAATTTCCTTTAAGCTATGAGGAACTAGACAGACATCATCTTAAAATTCCAGTTTCTGATTCTGAGATTGCATATTCAGTTGTGTTCATCTCATTGAAGTTTCTTCTCCTCCCTAAATATACTTCTGAAGAAAACTCAAATCAGGATTTAGAGTTGTACTGGGTACAAATCTTAGCTCTCTAAGAACTAAGTTAGTTCCCTGATCTCTCTGAGGATGCCAGGTATTTCCGTCTTCCCTGGCCTAACTCATATGTTCTGCTGTCCCTTCATCTCATGGGGGAGGAACTGTCTTCCTTTCCACATCTCAAGTAGTCTGCTTTGTAGGCGTCAGGATAGGTCTATGGGCCCAGACTCATTGGTCCTACCTTAAATTTTGACACTGCTACTTGCCAGCTCTGTAGACACCAGTGAGCCGCTTATCCTCACTACCTTTCAATTTGCTCATCTGTAACACAGAGATCCTAATTCCCTTTAGAGAGATTCTATATGTCAAATGCTTGGCTTTCTAGGCATTTAACACTAGGTAGCTGTTACCATTATTTTTCCTCTCCACATCAGGCCTTCCCAGGCACCCTTGTGTGACTCTTTTTCCCCTTTGTATTTCTGAGACTTTAGAACTATTCTCATTCCAACTTCCCTTTGTTTGTGTGTGTGTGTTTGTTTTGGAGGTACTGAGGTTTGCACTCAGGGCTGTGCACTTGGTCAGCAAGTGAGCCAGGCTTCCCCTCTTTTTTGCATTTACTTTGTTTTCAAATAAAGTCTCAAAATTGTTTGCTCTGGCTATCCTCAGAGAGCGGTCCTCCTACTTTCCGCCTCTTGTGGTGCTGGGATTACAGGTTTGAACCACCATACTGGGCCCCTCTTTTCACTGATAGGCGTGGCTTTTCTGAAACTCATCACTAGTCAGAGTGCTGCCCTTTGTTGAAGAAGATCCAAATCTTCACTCATTGCTCCTTGCTCCTACCTGACTAAAAGCCAGACTCAAACAAAAGCCATGGAACCCTTGAAAGTCTTAGGCACTCATTATAGACAGATGCTCACTATAGGAAGGAAGAATAACTCTTCCCTGGAGGGGCTGGTGCTTGATTCCATGAGATGATCTAACTCCACACTTGGAAAGCAGTGTGCTACCTAGGAAGCAGCAGTCAGGGGACACCAGCCTGACTGGAAATTGGACCAAAAAGCTCTGCTAGAAGAGACACAATTCAAGCGCCTGTGCATAGACAGCCTGAAAGGAAAAACCTAGGAAGGATGGAATCACAGGTTTCGAATCTCCCTGGGGGTTGTTTTGCCAAAGAAGGAGACAACTTATTCTCTCGCATCTCAGAAGTAGAATTAGACTCAAGCGGTAGAAGCTACAGGAAGATAGATTTCACTGGGCAAAATGTCTAACATTGTAACAAAGCCCCAGAGAACAGGAATAGATTGTATGATGGTAAGATCACATCACAGTAGGTATTTAAACAGAGGCTGGGCATTTCCTTAGCAAAGCTGCACGGAGAGATTCAGGCACTGGAAGGGGGCCAGGTGGAAATAACATCTTTTCTATAGTGGGGGTTGTACCCAAGGCCTCCTGCCTGCTAGAAAAGCTTTCTACCATTTGAAGTATACTCTTAGCCCATATGATTTTATTATATTTTTGAAACAGAGTCTTGATAACTTTACCTGGACTGACCTGGAAGTCACAGTCTTCCTCCCTCCTTACCTCCTGAGTAGGTGAGATTACAAACCTGTACCACCACATTGGGCTGGAGATACCTTTGAACAACATTCCGAAACCTCAAATTCCATCATTCCCTAAATGACAGGCTAATAATCACCCATTCCCTTTCAGACTCAACTTTGCAATTGAACTCATCATTGGAAAGCACTTTGAATTTCTCCTCCTACCCTCAATCCCATAATGATCCACTGCAAGAAACCCTGCTGCTCCCTGGGAAAGAGGACCAGTTAAATGCTAGCCATTATGATGCTGCTGTGTCACAA